GGCCGGCCGGCCACGGCCGGGCCCGGCAGTCGGGGCTCCCGTGCGCCTGCTGCCCCCCGTCCCTCCGACACCTGGAGCAAGGTGCCCCCGGGGAAACAAACCTGGCTTCGGAGGAGCAGCTGGTTTGGAGACCGCACTAATCCAAGCTTAACACAACGCGTGGAGGGACACGGATGGGCAGCGCTCGGCGCCAACGGGATTCTCGACTTAACTCGGCGGCGGGGAGATTAAACGGCTCCCCGAGGGCCCCTGGCAGCTCGGAGGCAAAGGAGCTACTGCAAGTGGGGAGCCCAAGGCTGGGGCGGCCGGGTGAACCCGGCAGAGCGAAGGGCAAGGACGGCCCACGGGAGCGCCCGCGGGTCGCACGTCCCGCAGCCAGGCTGCCCTCGACCCCGCGTGACGAGGGCTGGGGACAGGCTGAAGGGCTGGGGCACCGCACGCACGTCCACAGGAACCAGCCGTGGCAGCCCCACGTCCCGGCGCTGCTCCATGGTCCCTGCCCCGTTCCCCTTCTCCTGCTGGATGTAGACTGGGCACACGATGCTGGGCAGAGCCGTCAGGACGGGGACAGCCGTGCGCGCCCAGCAGCACCTTCCCCAGCCCCTTCCCGGCCCATCTCCAGCCTGTCCTTCCTCCCCGTAGCAGGAGGTGCTGGCGGGGCCCAGGCTGCCCCTTTCCTGCCCTGCGCCATGGGAGCGGGCGCTGAGACACCGACGTGGCCAGGAAAGGGCTGGGCCAGAGCAGGGCAGCCCCCCTGCCCTCTTCTCCCAGATACCCCTCCAGACGGGATGTAATTTTTTCCCCCCCTCTCAAGGTAGCATAAAATGGTCACAGTGTGAATGTGCTTGACCTTTTGTCTTGGACTAATCTAATTGTGTCGTCTTTGTGTAATCAGCCGGTAAAGGTCAGCGCTGTATTTAACATGGGGGCCCTTTAGGTACTGAATTTGCCTTGCAGTGAATTAACTTGATTATATTTCTTTCAAATATGTCAGAGCCCAGGTCACTTTAACCCTCTCCCTGCTGCCCGGGCCCACCTCTTGGATTTGGGAACAAAGAGGTGGCATGGAGGAAGAACATGTAGGAACCACAGGGAGGTCCCTCCTCCTGCAGCCACCACGGCCACGTCCCCCAGCCCCGTGTCAGGGCAGGGAGCGGGTGCTGGGAAGGAGCCCCAAGGCTGGGGAAGGGGCGGTGGGGAAGGCAGTGAACACACTCAGCAGACACCTTTGCAACCAGGAACCTGGCTCAGCAAACGCTTCCTTTCGACTCCGTATTGTCACCACTGAACAGGACATGACTCAAGTCCCGATTAACGTCACCTCAGCCGTGGACAGACGAGGTGCTCCGAGATCCTGCGGTACAGGACACGCGTGAGGAGCGCCGGTGCGCGCGGCGGCCGCGGGGGCAGAGCAGGGGAGGCTCCGGGCGTGCAGAGGGGCGGCGAGGCTGAGCCCAGGGCCTGCCGCGGGACGCGCGGAGGAAGGCGGCCCCCAGCACCCTGGAGTCCGGGTTCCCTTTCTTAGGAAGTGTGCTGTAGAAGCAGCCCCTGGGCTCTTTCAAATCCCTCTCCTTCCCAAGCCCCCTACCTCAGCTAGGGCTGCTGCTTGACTCCAGGAACTCGAGCAGGCCCTGGCGCGTCAGCTCAGGAGCACTTTTCCTGCTCGCCTCCCTCTGCTGAGCAGCCCGCACGGAGCTGTGTCCTGGAGGGAAGCGCCGAGGCCTGCGGCTGCGCTGGCATCACTGCCCCGGCCTGCGGCCAGCCTGCAGCAGCCAGGGCCCCTGCTTTGGTCTGTGGCGGCACTCCAGCAAGCCATCCGTCTGCATGCGGGATGTAGGAAGCCCTGCCGACCCCGCCGATAGCACCGAGTGTCCAGCAGGAGCCGTGCCCGGAGAGCGGCACGGGGGCGAGGGGACAGACGTGCTGGGCTCCCCCGGGCGCCTGGAGGGACAGCAGGGCAGCGTCCCCAGCGCTCATCAGGGCAGCTGTGTCGGAGACCTGAGCGCGCCCTGTTCTGCCCCCGCAACCTTCCTTCTCACCGAGTTGGGGGTCAGTGGTGCTCCTACTACATCAATGATCTGGTCCTTGGAATCCCCCTTGCTCTCCTCCATGCCGAGCCCTGCCTGGCCATCGGGGTGGCTGCCCTCCACACCCAGAGGGCCAATGCTGCCAGCTTTGGCCAGGGCCTCGTATCGGTGCCGTAGCATCTGCAGCTCATATTCACAGTTGGCAAAGGCCTGCTTGAGCTCGTACAGCAGCACCAGGTCGCTCCGCAGCTCGTTGAACATCTGCACAATCTCCTCCGTGGGCATGGGGTTGAGATCTAGGGAGGAAAGAGGTCCTGTTAAAGGCACACAGTTGCCGCCCGAGGACAACATATCCCTGGAAAAGTCCCAGCTACCCAGTTCACTTCCATAAAGATAGGCCAGGAGCCCACTGCATGGTTCATCAGCAAGCAGAATCCCTAGGGGTTGGAGACCTGGAAGAGCTTCCTTAGCTCCAAGGACTAAGGCTAAAGATGAACCTGCTGGGTCCAGCACTCAGAGCAAGTGAAGGATATAGAGGACCCACATGGGAGCAGGAGGCCTTTGTTTCCAGATGGGTCATATGAAGTGAACTCAGTCTCTGGAGCAGGTCCTCACAGTTTGCTACAGGGGACATAAAACCTCCTGCTGTCCCCTGTGCTTCCACCAACACAGGGCTGAGCACCCTTGGCACCCTCACCTCCCTCGTCCCTCCTCCCAAAGCAGGGCAGAAGCAGAACACTGCTCCGTGCTGCGTTACACACGTTAATGCAGACCTGAGCTGGCTGTAGCACCTCCAAGCCCTGCAGCCTGCTGCGGTCCATCACACACACACACACACACACACAGCACCAGGAAGAGCTGCACGTGCCGGGAGAAGAAGGATGAAGCTCTGTGTTTGACCCAACAGCCATGCCCTGTTGGCAGGGCCCCTTCCTGCCCGCACTGTGTGTGTTCATCCACGCAGAGCCAAGGTGCCTTTCTGGACTCCAAGACACAGCAGAGCTGGGGCAACACGAAGCTCCCGAGCTCCTTCTGTCAGGCAGGAGTGCGGAGCCAGGAACCCCTCCCTGCCCTCATGGAAAACAAGCCCTAGCAGACCGACCAGATCCTTCCCAAGGCTTCCCTGGTAAGCTCCGCTGGTACTCCTTCAGCATCAGTTCTGCCATTTCACTAGATACATTTATAACCTAATTAGCCTCCCTCCATCTAATCTCTTATCTATTTTCAATCCTGGACTACACAGTCCCTAAGAGAGAGAGAGGAAACCCCCTTGGTTTAGCTGCTTTCACCTGCCACAAGGCTCTCTTCAGTTAACCTCTGAAGCATCGCATCATGCCAGACCATTTGGCCCCCAAATTAACAACAATTAACAGAAATTAGTTCTGGAAGCAGGCTCAGTAATCACCTCTAAATCAACAATAAAGATTTCTTTTTAATTGCCCCTGCACTAAAGGGGAGGAAAGGAGTCATTAGGTGTCTAATCAAGGGGCACCGCACGCTGGGGCATGCAGTACCTGCCAAGGGTACCCACAGCAGAGAGGGCAACCCCTGGCCAGGGGCTGCTCTCCGTCCCCGCTCGCTGGAAGCAGGTACTGCACGTGGTAAGTGAGCCCTTCTTCCTCCTGCTAAGACTCCGGAGTTCAAGAGTGAGGGATGTGTGTTTACTTGCCTTTCAGCAGAGATGCTCCAGATTTTCACACAGCATGCAACACACAAAGGGGGGATGAACAGTCCCAGGCACATTTTGGACTTGCCACCGTGAGCAGTAAATTAAGAAGAAATGAAGCTTGAAAGCAAGACAGGGCAGCCCTGAACAATGTGCGTGCCATGGTCACTAACACGCTCAGAAGTACCTCTCCTGGCAAGGCTGAGATTTGCCTTCCTAATACTGTGCTGCCTCTCTTGATGGTTAAAAAGGCCCAAACAAGAGAGAAACAAAGGCTCTTTTAAAGCATTTTTCTACTGGGAGGAAAAAAACCCTGTGCATCTTGTTCTGGCTTTTACCCTCTCTCTTCTTCTTTCTCTTTTTTTTTTTTTTTTTTTAAACACATAAAATATTTTAAAAACCATTCACATACTGTTATTCAAGAAACTTGCTGTATTACTAGGGGAAAAAAATAGCCCATCTCGAGAACAAAGGCTAGCTCTGTGTGTCTCTTTCTCTCTCGCGTGCCCCCTTTACTCACCTACTCCGAGTTCCATCAGCATCTGCTCCAGGGCTTTAATCTTCTTCTGTCCCACCGAGCTTGGCAGTTTCATCTGGAACACAAAGGTAACAGAGCCACACAGCTCAGAGATAGCCCTCACTCACAGCCGTCTAGTTCAAAAGGCAAGAGAGCTTTTCTTTTTATAGTGCAGGGGGAACAAAAAAAGAAAGGGAGAGAAAGGAAAAAAATCAAGTGGTAAGAGAGGGAGACAGGGGCTGAAAGTTTTCAGACTGGGTCCGAGGGCAGGCATTGAAAAGCCCGGTCGTGAGGGCTTTTATTTTCTCTCTCGTGTGTGTGCAAGACACGCTGTTTCACAGTTTCCATGTGCCACTGAATTAACAACAAAAGTTCTTCTTGGCTTCAAACCCTCTCCCGCGGTGCCCAGCCCATCAAAGGGCTCATTTACACAGTGGCTAATGTGCAACGCTGCCCTACTTTATTCGCTTGAGCCGGCCTGATTAGACTCATGCGCTAACAGACTCACTTCTCCTTGTCCCCGCTGAGCCCCAGACCTGTGGGATTCATTTACAGAGCAGGCTTTATAACAAAGGCGAGAGACAGAGAGAGCACAGTTACTGACTGGCAGAAGTGTGAACACACATTTACATCGGAGCTAAGGGGCTAGGTGAGAGAGGAAGCATCAGATGTGAGCTATGAAAGGGAATCGGGGCTGGCCAGGAGGGGAAGAATGCATACACTTAGCGGGGTCCTTCCTCTGCATTCATTTGGGCTCTAGCAGGAGAGCTGGCTGCTCAGACCAAGCATTTATTAGCTTACGAGCAGCACAAGTGCAGCTGGCACAATATGGCAGGGAGAAGGGGTTTCCGAGCCCGGCAGGTACATCCAGGAAGGAAGGAGAGTGCTTTCCCCTTCCCTTCCTCAGCAGGGAGGGCAGACAGGCTAGCAGAGATGATTCACAACACAGCAGCAAAAGCCTCAGCCCACACGTCCACACCGGACCCTGGGGAGGTGAGCCCACCTCTCACCCGGGGAGCTCCATCCCTATGGAGAACCTAGGAAGCTGCACAGCAGCCTTTATGTAGCCAGCAGGGAAGAGCAACCTGTAGCTGTCACTAACCCAGCACCTAGCAGTGACCCCAGCCTTTCCTGAGTGAACCCATGAGCTGCTCCTCTGGGCTGGCAAAGACCTGCAGGCAGAACTATGTTTTTTTTCTCCTGCCACACAGAGATGACAACAACCACCCACCCTCCCCAGCCAAGAACTGGGGTAGAGGTGCTACAGAGCACCCCGGGATCAGGCCCTTCACAGCACTCTCTAAAGCACCTGGTCCTTTCACTAGATATTACCAGCACAATAAAGAGACTAGCAGAGACCTCGAGGGCTACCAAGGAAGGATCCATAAGAAATCAAACCAACAGAGGATGCAAATAGAGAGCAGTGAGAGCTGCTGTTCTTTGCACAGGAGCAGTGGGGAAAGAGAAGAAAACTTGTCCTTGTGCAAAGAGGCCACCTCTGTCCTCTTTATTCCCTGGGGGTCTTCATGGAGTGCTGAGGCTTCTGCACAGCAATGAATTTCATAGTTCAGAGCCTGAATCTTTACACTTGACTACAAAATGATTGTTTTAGCAGAGGAAAGGCTGCCAGAGGTATCAGGTACTTGGATTTCAGTCAAACCTTTGGACTAGAGGCTTAACCTGAGTAGCAGCATGCTGAATAGGCTCCCATAGTAGCAGCTCTGCAGCACAGGCGCTCAGGAAAAGTGGCACTGAGCACAGCTTAGCAAGAGCTGGAATGGTGAGACTATAGCATCAGGAAGATAGTCCTGAGAACAAGCGTCGGTCCACAGAATTAGTCCACCCCACTACAAGAAGCCCTGCAGAACACGCAGATCGAACCACGTGCAGTGGTGCCTTAGTCAGGAGATGTGCAAGCTGATCTGATCGGGCTGTGCTAGCCTTAACTTTTAGGGGAGAAAAAAAAAAAAAAAGGAGCCCGTCATCATGGGGTCACAGCTCCTCACTGAAGGCCTCCACACAGACAACACTTCCACGATTACTTGAGCTCCTAAGAATCTGTGTTCACCCTTTCTCCAGCACCTAAATACATCACAGTCTTTCCCGCTAAAGACAGGATCCCTTTCTGCCAAGCACCGGCTAGGAAAATCACACTGGACTTCAGGATCAAAGGACAACAAACTAGAAGAGATCATGCTCTGTTAGGCCAGGTGGACAGGTAGGGAGGACTAACACCATCTAACCTGGCAACAATATCTCAGCTTGGTGGTTACAGGAATAACACCATCTTTCTCCTTAGGAGGCCTTCAGCACTCCAGGAACCAGCAGCAGCACAAATGATTGCTCTGGCAAAGCCTTCAGCTGCAATATTGTGTGTCCTGCTCTTGTTCGATAAGAGCGTGGTCAGCACATGAACACAGAGCAAAGGTCTTCACTGATGCTCCTCTCTAGACTGGAGGACAGGGCAGAGAGAGGCAGGACAAATTAATCTAACTACAAAGAAAGGAAAACCAGAAACGCTCTGAAGGAGTAGGGCTGTTTGCTTAGTTTAAGAACACATCAATTAAGCTTCTTTTTAATTCAGGCGGGAGGATCTGGCCTGCAAATAGGAAGGCTTCATTGGTTTCTCAAAGCAAGAGTATATTTTAATTTTACCATCATTAAGAAAATGTTATGATTTATGTGGCTACTGTCAGACTAATATCTTTAGAATTTAGCTGGCTAAGCCAATTCATCTCCAAGACTGATGAAGGCTGATTGCTCTCTATGCAAAATGTATTAAAACTAAATGAGCAGTCTATTACTCAAAGGCTGCTGATAATCTGTTAGTTAGGGTCCGTTAGCTGGGCTGCCTTGTTGCGGGGCAAAGTCTTGGTGCCTGGTATGATTCAGATAAGCCCAGGCTTATTTCAGCAAGCCCTGCTTTGCTTGCACATTTTAGGTGGATGCTCTTTTGCAAAAGCTGAGTTACCTCTTCGAAACCCTGGCAGGATATCATCAACCACAGCACAGTTCCCCCCTACAGAAGGCTCACCAGAACATGTTGGTGCACACACAGACTCTCGTTCAGCTCCTAAACTTGAGACCAGCAGCTCAAATCCCACTCCCATTTTTGGGCTCAAGCCCTATCCAAAAGCATGTGCTGGAAGTGCTGTAACACCACCCTCATTTCAGAGGGAAGGAGGAATTCTGCAGGGACCAAGGTCCCGATCACAGAGAGCAGCTCTCTGGCTTGAGATGGAGCAGTGTGTGCTGCAACGTGCAATATTTGCACACTGAATCTTCATGTTAAGGGAAACAACACCCAGTTCTTACACCTTCTCAGCATGGTCATGGACTGAGCCCTCCAGAGGCTGAGGAAAATTATGTTCCTCAGAGAGCTCCAGCAAGAAACCCACAGCATCGCAGGTGAATGGCATTTGCCCTTTTCTTTCCTTCCTCGTAGTAGACTATTATTGTTATTTATTATCTTTTAAGTCCCCATATAATAATAATACCTGGGAAACAGATTGCTCTAGTCAGAAAACTGATTAGCTGGGATTTTTGAGGTTACTATATTTTGGATGCTCTTCTCCTTTGACAAGCTCTCCCTATAGCCCTCTTTGCTACACCAGCTTGTGCTTATAATTACACCAACGTCGCTTTTGATTTAAGGACTGCAATTCTTTGTCCTTGCTATAAACAACCTGCATTAAACACATGAAGTATGTGTATCAAGAGAAAAATAAATAAAGAGCTAAGAAAATCGTGTGAATCAACATCACGAAGCTACAGTGCCAGGGCTTTCTAGAGAGAAGGAGCTTTGCCTGATCCTGGGAAACACCAGCTCTGCCTGCACATTAAACCACTTGGTCTGACGAGTGTTTTCACAGTCTGCTCTCCCCTGGAGAAAAGGGCACTGACCAGGAACTGGGCTGCCCAGCTTAAATAGATCAACAGAGCATCCACCTCACCTTCATTGTAGGAAAAGAGGGAAGGGGGATCAGCACCGACTGCTTGGATTTCCACAGAGGGTCTCACAGCTGAGTACCCTTGAGCTTTTAGATGGCACAGGATTTTCTGTGCCTTTACTTATGTCCAGACAAACCGCCAGCAAACCTTGCTAATTCACACTAATGACTAGGAGACCTAGTGCAAATTAATTGCTAATTGCCAAAATCACTAAATGAACAAACATGATAAGAAAAAACTGATAATATGCCCCTTCTCTCCCACGCCCAATTCATTTGGGTTTGTGTGTCATCCAGTTTTACTGACTTATGACAATACTTCTAAGCTTACTGGTAAATATATTTAGAGTATTTCAGAAGAGAAATGAAGTCTAAATAATAGCAGAGCTTGCAACACAGTGCTCTATTATGCGTTAGAGCTTCACTGTTCAACAAGCAGAGATTGATACTGGATCTGCACTAGGAATGGGCCAGGTTTGTGGGATGTGCGAGGAGAGATTCAGCTATGTTAGCATGTAGATACAATCACATGTGGAATGTTAAATTATCTGTTCTCAGTTTACAACTTTGCTCATAAAAGCTCCATTTTCATACTCACGACTTTCCAAAGATTCCACTTTGGCGCTGAAGCCTCTTGTTTGGGTTCTCATCAAAATACAATCTCTCTAAATGATTAATCAACAGTTATTCAGCCATATTCACGCTCCCTGACCCCGCACTTCACTCCCTTTGATTCCATTTGGAGACACTCTATCCCTCAAAGTCACCTTTCCCTAACCCTAAACAATGTGACTACCCTAAAACCATTATTCCCAAGAACTCCATACCTCTGACCTTTAGCTGCAGAGCTATAAACCAGTAGTGCTATTCAGCATTAGAACACAGCTTACTGACAATGAAAACACTTTCTTCATGAATTCAGCAGCAATTCATGAAAGTTTCTCAATAGGCACCTTCTTCATGGATGTCCTTAAGAATCCTGAATTGCCTAGAGAGCTTCCAGGAGGAGGAGGAGGGAGCAATAAAGTTTCAAGTGAATAATGTTTTTTACACTGTCTGGCTTAAAATAGAGAAAGGTGGTCAACCTTTCCCTGTCTGCATGGCCCCTCTCTGCAGGAGCAGAGAT